TTAACAGATCAGAACAAATACATTTTTTTAAATTTAACTTGTTTATTTATGGTCTCATCTTGATATTTATGATAATGACGTTAAAAAAACTCATTGATAACATGCTCTGGATCGATGAGAAGATAATTATGCTTTTAGGTAATGATATATTTTGGTTAGTATGTTAAAGAACATTTACATAATTACTTAAGCCTGTTACCCCAAACGGAGCATAGGCCGCCAACCAACATTTACAAACCTACTCTATCATGAGTCTTCCTTTCCAATTCTAGGCAACTGTTATTCATATTTTTCATATCTGTTTCTGATTCTCAGCGCAGCGCTTTCCTTGGTCTGTCACCTTTCCTTACGTTCTTAGTTAGGAATTGCTTCGTGATGCAGTTGGACAACTTCCGCAATGTGTGTCCTATTTACGTCCAACGCTTTTTCCTAACTACTTCCTCAGCTGGAATCTAGTTTGTTTTCTACCGCAGAAGGTTGTTTCTGGTGATGTCTGGACAACGTATTCACAGACAACTTTTGGCTTCAGTAGTTCTTCAGCTTACCACTTCATACAATAGAACTCTCTTCCCTTTTGTATTAAAAATTGTAACTTTGTTGTTGGTTGATAGTTGTTTTGAGTTCCAGGTGTTAATCGTTTGTAGAAATACCGCCCTTGCTTTACTAATCCATTCCTTTACATCTGCGCCAGGTCCAACCTTGTACACTGATGACGCTGCCTAGGTATGTAAAGATTTCTACAAACAAATGTTGGGACATGTTGTGTTGTATCATAGAATCTTGCCTTTCTCTTCGTGTATGCTGAGACCTAGTGCTGCTGAGGCTTCTGCTACACTGGTTGTCTTCTTCTGCATTTGTTGTTGCGTGTGGGTGATCATCCAGTTGCATCGTAGCTGTCCACTGTATACCGCACTTTTCTCCAGATCCAGTCGACCACCAGGGGAAAGAGAAGGAGTGAGAGTAAACAACCTTGCCTTACATCACTCTTCACTTCGAACGAATCTGCTGTCTGTTCTCCGTGCACGATTTTGCAGTATAGTTCATCGTTAGAATTCCATATTATGTCAACTATCTTCTCAGGAAAGCCAGTGTCAAAGAAGCCTCTATAGTGTCATTCTGTCCATGGTGTTGAATAATTTCTCGCATTCACTGAAATTGATGTACAGTGGTGAGTTCGATTCTATTGGTTGTTCCCCAATCATTAGAAGTGTTGTTATTTGGTCAGTACACGATCTATCCTTACGGGATCTAGCCTGTTGACCTCCAATTCGGCAGTCTACTAAGTTTTTCATTCTGTTCAAAGACAGTCTGTTGAAAAGTTTCGTTGGTATTGATGGTAGAGTGATGCCTACTGAAACATAGTTATTAGATGACTTCCATGCGTGGAGTTTATGGTTAGCCCTTTGATTATGGATCATTTTAATTAGCCGGTGTCTTTCTTGATGCCAGTCATTGTTTCGATAGTTCTGCTGGTCGCATTCAAGAATAAGTGGACTGAAGTCCTAGATAACTGAAAAGAATCCAATAATTAGGGCGACTGTTGCTTCTGTATTGTTATCCCAAGTATGAAAACAAACAACCATTTGTCATCAAAACAGCCAATGAATTGCTTCAACCTCCAGCTTTTGATGATGCCATTACCAACAGAGCTTATGATTAATAACGATATAAATATCAAACCCGTTGAACATGTTAGTAATGATGTAGGCTCGCTACCTTGGTAGATAGAGTGCTGGACATTTGAAGAGAAAGATGTTTGGTTCAAGTCCGAATGTGAACATTAACAATAACTGACGAGTCCTTAGTACAACTGAGTAAATAGGATTCAGTAGTATATCCTATAAAGATAATTTCTACATATAATCAATTACATGCAAGATAAAAATTATGAAGGTCAATGAGGAAATCTGGTATTTCGGAACATTGTAGATTAGAAAGAAACATAAAAATTTATTTTACAGACTAACATTATGAAATTACGGAGTGCATTTATGACATTAAAACGTTTTGGAGATAGATGGCACGTCATGTATCCTATAGTGATGAACGAAGAAATCAAGACAAGATGGAATGATATACGTTTAGAGAAGACACAGTTTATGAACAAAAAGTCTACATCAAACTTAAGACATCGTCTGGTCTTAAAAATACTATGATTACACTGGGCATTAAAATCGGACGCTCTTCTCTCTGGTAGTAACTTGTAGGCAACAATCTGTTGCATGCTACTTTAGAGTTATGTCACGAGTAGTATCCACCACAATCCATGTAGAATGGTTGGTCTCTGTCGATGTGGAGGGGAAGTCAGACGTCCGTGGTTGCTGTGCTCGTAGCAGAGTTCGTTGATTTAGTTGCTCAGCAAAATTACACGTAGAATAAAGACTTCTCATTTTATTCATATCTCTATTGCTTTTAATTAGTTTCGTATTTTATTCCAATTTTACATGACGCAATTATTGTAGGATCCAAATCAAGGTTTGGACTGAAGAATAACTGTCTAGGCAGTTTAGATACGCGCCTTGCCCAGTTTTAAAAACAAAAACAAGTGGTTTGGGTAAATGATGGTTCTAATTTTCATCATAAATATAAATATACATCATTAACTAAACAAATATTACCACTCAGTTAATCCACCAACAATTGTTCAACTAATCAAATCAATAGCAGCAAATAACTGATATAATATTCCTTCTGAATAGATCACATTCGTTCAAAAGATAATATTTGGTTGCTTTATAACACAGAGGGTTTCTTATTATGGAATGGTGCTTCCATTTACAATCAAAATGCACAATTCCAGTCAAAGCAAGCAACACAATCAAATGAGGAACAGATTAATATGGCTGTTGCCATGGCTAACTATTAGCTTAAACAACATAAATGCAGTTCAGAAAGAAACACGTAGAAATTCAGTAAAGGCGAAAGAAGCAGAAACTATAATAAAATACAAATATTATCATCTTAAAATGTAATCGAACAGATTAAAAAAAATGTACAATCGCAGGAATCAATAAGAACATATTACAAATGTATACAACATGGAGAGGGATTCTCATGAAACAAAGCCTTCAAAAAATTGAATCTTACAATTATCATTATTATTTAGTTTCAGTATAATTGGATATTTTTTGAAAAAAAATAAACAATATCATTTTAATCGATGTTCACAAGGTGTATTATAAAACTATGAAACTTCTTACTGTGATATATTACTGTCTTGTGTTTTCTTCATTAAAATTGAATAACATATTCATCAATCCACTTACATAGAATTTACATTGATCTGTCTAGTTCCATAGAGTAGTAAGTGAGCTTAGAAAAAAAAATAAAGCCTTATATTATATTTTAAAGATATTCATCAAACTGTTTGTTATTTGGCCAATGAAATTTACACACAGACTAAATGTATACTTTTTACAAGTTCAAAACTTTAAGAAAAGTTCAGTTTAAAAAGAAAAAAACCTAACTATTCTTCATCCTTTTCAGCTGAATTCATATTCATAAAGAGTGGAATTATCTCTCTCTCTCTCTCTCTGACTGTAAGATTTTATAGTTCCTTTTGTCATAAAAATAAGGGACTGTAAACTTTTTCAAGAAAATATTCATCAATAGTGGATAAGCATAACGATTGATTGGTAAGATTATAAAACTCAAAGGTCTACAAGTAACTGTAATCTATGTACAAAAGTAAATTCTTTATAATAACGTTCTTCACAGAAACCTTGATAACCTTAGTAAGCTGTACGAAATCAATAATTTAACAGATTCAACAAATTTAAAAAAAAATTACACCTTATTTTATAATCAACTAGTTTAATTCATTGTAAATTTATTGATGAAGTGAATATTCAAAAATGATATGTAAGTTATCGTGATTATTCACGATGTTATTTATGTAGAGGTTGATTAATAATAAGAAATTCTTCTTCTATAGACTCTCACTTTTTGCCTGTAACCCCTCATTCCGCTGTAATTAAACATTAACAAATTAACACACTAATCAGATTTTACTTCACAGTTATAAAATTACTTTTGTTTCAAGTGTTATCATTTACAAGGTTAGTGGGAATTAAGTAAAGATATTAAGCTTTCATCTTTTTAAAAATTTTCAAAGCATCTGATATAAATCAATCCAAGTTAGAATTCTGTATTTTTAAAAATAAAAAACAATTTATTCGATATTTAACCATAATAATATGTGTATCATGTTTTTACATTGAAATCATGAATGAATGAAACGTTGTTAGACGATTGTGATTAAAAACCTGGAACTACCGGATGGATGTTTCGTCCTAGTAAGGTGATCATCATCAGCATACATCCATGATCCCTACTCACGGGAATTGAATCCAAGACCTTCGGTCTAGGGCACGAACCCTTAACATCTAGAACGTTGAGCAGGAATCCTACGGTGTTAGTGTTTAACTCTGATAAATTTAATGATTTTGCGCAACCTTACTAATTGTCTTCGCGTAGGTAATTGCTTACACTCAACAGAGCCGAACTCCACTGATCAAGTCATCTCACTAGAACTCTGAGAACTACGGGGTTTCAAGAGACCAGGAATGACGTTTCGTGAACTTGCTTCGTCTGCATTAGCGGTGCAGTGAGGAAAGGGACTGTGAGTATAGTTCGTTGCGGAGAGAAAAGAGGTGTGTGTTGGTGTAGGAAGGATTTGATTTCGATCAATTTGGTCTCGTGTGCTATTACGGGTATGAGGGCGGTTGTCACTTCCCGGCTGCCCACACCGTGGAAGGTTGTTTCTTGAGGAACCTGAAAAGGAAAATAGATTAGTGTTGGTCTTAGAGACCTGGGAGCGTGACCACAGAGCCCAAGGGACAACTAATGTATTTACGTACGAAGTTCTACGTTGCATCTGTCTGTCTGTCTGAGAACTACCTCACAAAGCTAGTCACTACTAGTGGTGCATATTTTATTCAATCGATTACTTAGTACTAATGAATTATATTACATTTTTCTTTTGTTTTTATATATTTCAGTGGAGAAATTCATTCCACCCAACCAACATTTGAAGATGATGCTATTAAATCAATGAAACGTGTCACTGATAAAGTACAACAAATTATGCATATTGATCGATTAGATAATAATGATATGAATAAAATTATGGAATCACAAAAACCGTTGCCTCCATTAGCTGTTCATAAACTAACAACAACATCAACTACCACTACCACTAACCAATCATTCATTGATATCAATTCATCATCTCCATCGGAATCAAATCAAAGAGTTAATATCAATAATAATAATAATCAGTCAAATGAAAATGATACACAACAATTTTTTTCATTATGTCAACAAATTTTTTATTATTTTATTGTTGCTTTTATTGTTTATAAATTAATGATTTGGTTTAATTTGAAACCACAATTTGGTTAATGAATTAACCAATGAATTAATTAAATTTATATATATATATATCTATATATATCGCATATTTCATCATATCATCTCAGGAGAATAACAATTATTTTTAATGACAAAAGTTAATTATTATTTTATTCTAAGATAAACTAAACAGCAAAACATTCAATTCAAATTGAATTCTGTGATTTTTTTTTCCTTTTCTTTCTTTTCTAATATTCAATAAATTGAATTATTAGGCACATTGTGTAGTAGCAGTAGTAGTAGTTGTAGTAGTAGTAGTAGCAGTATAATAGAGAGATATCATTTCACCTACTTTTCTTTTTTTCATTACAATAATCTTGAAGTTAAGAATTTCATGAAACAAAGCAAATTATTACGCAATCATTATTATTGATGTCCAATTTATTTTTCATTTTACTTTTCTTCATTCATATTCCACAATAGACATACATATATTGGTGTGTATACATGCATAATTCAATGATTGAAATCACTTGCATAATAATAATAATAATAATAATAATAATAATAATAAATATTGAATTTCTGCATATCATATTCTCTTTGTACGATCAGTGAATGATCATATCCATTTATTAAATAGGATTATTTGGACAATCAGATGACTTCAACTTTGTTTCATCATTCAACAACAACAAATGTGTGTGCGTGCGCCGTGCGTGTGAGTGAGTGAGTCTATGTGTGTACACACATCGCACACACACACACCGTTATTGTTGAATTATTTTTACACATTGAAATTTATTTTGTAAATTCAATTTTATTGTAACTAGATAAACAGACCAAAAAGAAATTATGGGTGTATTGTGCATTTTCATTCAAATTAACTGAATACATAAAACTAACATATCATTGCATTCAGTCACTTGGGACAGAGAAAATACGATAACTTGAAAAAATGAAAAGCAGAAATAATCAACGCCCCTTCCCCCTACACACACACACGAACATATAATTGCCTTGCAATAACTACAAAATCTCTGTCTCTTTCACACACAAACACAAAGAATTACTTTAACAAAATTAAAACACACACAGAACCAAATTAGCGTGGATTCGCTCAGAGCAACAAACCCCCTCCCCTAGATTTTTTCTATTCATTTTAAAATGTTCTCTGTTTATCTTTTTCGCTTCGCTTCTTTGAATGCACGTTAAACACAAAACAAACAGATATTTTCACTGGATCAATCCACTCACTCACTTTCACCATCATAATCGTTGTCATTAAACATTAACATCTTCCTTCAAATTACTACAGAATTATTGCGTTTTTTTCTTGTTGTTATTGTTGTCCTATGCATAATATTGAAATTGTTTGAGTAATAATAATAATAATAATAATAAAAATAATTAATTTTCTCAATTTCATACTCATCACAATGAATATTCTTTATAGCATTTTAACTAACTACTAACGATAGTAACAGTAGTATAGTGGTATAGAATGAATTTTGTGACAAAAACACAGACAATTTATTATTTTACTTTAATTTTTTGTTCTTTTTTTTCTTGTGTTTCTCATTTCATCACAGAGATAATTCAGCATTTTCTTTTTAAAAAAATAATTAGATAAATAAAGATTATAAGCACAGACAAACTATGAAAGATCTACTATTGGACTGATTATTAATAATAATTATAAATAATTCTTTTAAAAAAAATTGAATACGTATTTATTTGAATGATATTGATAGTAAATCAATATTGAACAATTTTTTCTTGCGTTCAGAATAAACATTAATTGAACGATATTTGTGTACAATGATTAATAAAAAAAAAGAGAAAGATTTACTTGAAATTATCAGTTCAATATATATATATACATAAATCTGTATGTTCTGATCATAATTATATATATATACATATATATATATATATATATATATATATATATATATATTCAGCTCTGTACAGCAATATAGCATATAGTATATAGATCGTATGGCATAGGGTAGTAAGAGGTGCAGTCCAGCTCAATGTAAATGGGCTCAAACATTCTTATTACCTTTTGTCTTACGTCAGGAGACGTTTTAGTATCGCAAAAGGTGGAATTTTCATTTTTCTGACGATATGAAAATTGAGTAATAATGATAGTAATAGTAATTGACCAAAACATAGTGACTAATCATCTCAATGAGTGGACGATGTTAATAAAAATTTGCCGCTTTAAGTGAAAACTCCACTTGAAACCCTTGTAGTGTTACTGCTTATCCAAAGTCCAGATAAAGGAGGACGGTTGGCCGTAGGATTAGCAACCTCATGGCATAGAAACTCGACTAGCTAAAAATGCTGACCAAAAAAATAGTTCGCTGCTCGGCGGCTAAATGCATCATTAGGAGTAACAGGTGTAAATAAGTAAGGTAAGCTATAAATGAAAACCACTTTAAGGCATTTCCAATATGTCTTTACTACATATTATAGCTTGTCGACTTTTTATTGTATTTATTTATTCACCATACAAATCAATGAGTTTGTGTGTAGACTTAGTCAGTCAGTTACAACGTAGAACTTAGTATGTACGTAGGTGCATCAGTTCAAAATGTCACACCATAGGAGCAGCACAGAGACGCAATTATCAATTCAAATCCCATAGTAATGTAGCCAGTAGTAGAAATATCAGCAGTAATCTGAGAAATTAGGGTTCAGAGTTTCTATTCAAGAAGTGTAATAAATTTGAAAGGAGAAAGATAGAAGCGTTGAGGAATTCAGAATAACAGAATTTAAGAGAAGACAAAGAATGGATGCACCTGCTCCATTGCAAACGATTCCGTGTTAGGTTATGTGTGGACTGGAAAGGATACATACTGCCCCCTAAGTACTCAAAGATATGAATATATACACGTATTTTCAATAGATTAATTGTAATTTACGCATTTTGCTGAAGTATAAACACCAATATATATATATATATATCATGGAACGTAAAACACTAGCTATACGGGCCTGACATTTCTTAAAGAATCATCACAGCAGTGGCTTTTAAATCACTCATTATTTTACCGAGATGAGACTTGAATGGAAAACTCGAAGATGGACAGTTTATACTATGACTGACTGGCATAGAAAGTGGTCTTTTGCAGCCCATTAAGACTTCATACATCACTCCCTAAATACCATAGAGCTCGATAACTTCAAACGTTGCCCAATACAATTAAGTAGAAATATTGCTGTAGTTCTTGATTAGATTTTTATATAAAAACAAGGCTGAACAATTTTAGCTGATGAATGAAATCTTCATTAGTTTCATTTTACTAATCATTAAATTTATCAATGTATCACAAGGAATACTACGACCCATAACTCAGTTTTCATATAGTCGGAAAAATGAAAATTCCGCTTTTGCGAAAAATACGTCTTCCGACATGAGACAGAGGGTAATAAGAATGTTTGAGCCCATTCGCATTGAGCTGGGCTGCATTTCTTGTCATTCTATGCCATACGATGTATATACCATAAGCTATATTGCTATATAGAGCTGAAAGCCAAAGGTTCGTTGTGAACATTGTGGATGATTTGGAATTACTTCGGCAAGTTTAGCTAACAGTCCATATGCAAGATTGGTTAGCAAGGTTGTCGATTTCATTTATACTGGCGGTTGTCTTGCAACATTCCGAGGGGTGTTGCATTGCAGACAACCATTGTTAATAATATAATAAGTTTAACAGTCATGTAATCGGGATGGGTTAAATTGGCCTGTTTATGACATGCATATTGAATAACGTGATCATGGACCGGAAATAATCACTCTATATATATTGGTGTATATCAATAGTGTAATGGTTCACCAAGGTATCGGGTACCTGTGTGGTTGCGTCACAGAATTGAGCTGTACTATTCACGTTGAAGTGGTGACACGTAGGCAGTGTCTGGTTCTCCTGAAAACCAATGTAAAATTACGCTTGCCAATCGACGGTGAATTTATATATACAAACAATGTATCACTGTTCGCTGTTCAATTTCTAATGATGGTCTAACAATGACTCATTCATGACTTCAATGGAAAAAACAACAATCTCCATAAAACTCCAATACAAAAAATATTTCCCGTATATGAAGATTTTTCAAATGCTATCCAAATGATAATAAACGGACCTACATAATTTTATCTACAATTTATTTCTCATTACAAAATAACAATAATTTTCAATGTATTGATAAATATGTTCGAATCAATATCATAAGAACATAAATTCGATGATAATTCAAATATTACAGAATGCATAATCTCTACAAATAACTTATCGCTCATAGAAATATGTAAAAGTTTAAGTCTTAATTACAGGAAAAATAGCCTCGTTTCACTAATTAGTAGTGTGGTGGTTCGAAAAAACAACAACCACATGTCAACCATTTAAAGCAATGATATTTGGCTACTTAAAATTAGTGAGTAGTATAAAACATAAGAAACATTTTATGAGGAACCTATGAATTATTTGTTCCCAGTATACACACCGGATACGAGGATGTGGTTAGGATAAATTACTCATTCGGGTCGTCTTAGTGAAATAGTTATACTGAGTACATAAAACGAGGTCTTTCCCATTCGGATAACAATTACATTCGTGAATAATACACTTGGAATTTATTTAACACTATTATCGTTGCTCAAAGTTGACGAAAATTTTAAAGAGACGGAGATCTGTGTTAACTATAGTCATTCAAACTTGATCTTTAGATTCATTTCAATTCCATAATTGATGAAGATCTTAGCCTAATTTACTAATAAAATAACCAACCTTTTACAACCAGAGTATATTCATAATGATGTCAAAGACGACCGAGTTTGAATTGATCCTCTTTAGCCTTTATTAAACAAAGACGGAGATCACATCGAATCACCGTACAACCCAAGACACAAACATTTTCTAACTAATCCCAACAAATCAATCAGCACGATACAGGCTCCTGTCTAGAAGTACGAGGCATTTAGAAAGTGCAAATTACCTCACATACTTACTCTCATTTATTGTCAACTGATTACATGTGGCTTTGTATGTAAAAAAAAAAACCAACTCTTGTTTCACACTTCAAATCAAGAAAGTATAAACAATAAACAAACAATAAATTTAACATAAAGATAAACAAAACCAGAAGAAAAATAAACAACAACAACGGAAAAATCGGACAATAAAACCAACAAAAATCAACAGTTATTAGTGAGTGCTATTCATCATGATTAGTAATAAATATTAAAGCAACAAATTAAAAACCATTGCACCACAATAGAAAGCAAGCAGCATAAAATCATTTCAGTGAAAAAAAATACATATATATAATACATACATAGATCCGTCTAAACATGTTTATTATGCTAGATGACAACAGACAATCTTGTCAATTCTCATTGCCACATCAAAAATAAACAATTGATATAAGATTACAAATAATCGAAACAATATTAGAGAAAAGGAGTATCAAAAAGAGGGGAGAAAGGCAAGATGAAATCAAAAAAGAAAAAATTGACAAAACAAACAGGGGATTTTTGTTTGAATGAAGAAAAAATACAAGGGAGAAAAATTGCAAACATGATTTACAAGTAAATGATAATTTTACTTTTAACCATATTCAATTAACTGTTTCTCTGTCTGAAGGATGGTGACTGGGGCGTGGCGTAGTGATGGAGGAACTTCGGCTGTAGTCCCCCTTCGGAGCTACTGCCGGTCCCGAGCCCGGATAAACGAGGAGGGGTTAGCGCTCCCATCCCAACTAGAAACTAACTTGCCAAAATAAAAACGCTAACCAGAAACAAAGTAGTGATGGAGGTGTGATTGTCATCTGTTTGAAGACAATAATGGAATCTATACACAAACATGATCATTTGGATTAATACAACTGCGAGAAGTTGAGTAAGTTGAACAATCAGTTTATTGATCGGGTTTGTGTTGTATGTACAATAATTCAGGTTTTTTCTATATAAATTAAAACTAATAATAATAATAATAATAATAATAATAATAATAATAATAAACGCTTTATTGACTATTAAATGCAAAGAAAGATGGGTGTAGGGTGTGAGCGCGCATTTTTATTTTCAATGTTCAATAATTTTCAAACTCTACCACATTCATTTCATCTGCTTTTTCTCTTTCATCCAACCAGTTGGGATGCGCCACTACAGTAGCATATACACAAAAGGCATATGTAGATAAAAATCGAGGATGAAGTGTTCATCACATGGGGTGCATTGCACTACATAACTGGAAAAATGCTTGACAAACAATGTGTAAATATTGGCACTATTATTAAAAATATTAGTAAGGAAAAAATAAAACACACACACAGGGACATTATAACATGGTGTAACATGTTAAACACGAGCATGCTTTCACAAACCCTTTAAAATGGAATATCTTCATTACAAGATTACAATGTAATTGCAAATTTATTATTGATGTAATCATATGTCGGTGTGTGGGGGTGGTGTAAATATAATCTCTCGTTATTTTTCAACAACAACAGAAAAAAAATCTAGAAATGAGTACATGAAATGAAATCTATTCATGACCAATGAAATACCGGATAAATTGAACAAACCGGGAGGGAGAGGGCATTGAATGCGTAGGTGTGGTTCGAACTTTGAGTGCGCATGTTTTTTTGGTTTTGAAGAGAAATCATCGATCATCATTAAACATGACATTACATTACAACAAAATACTGCGATATAATTCCACATAATAATCTATCCAATATGATTTGTTCATTAATTAAAATTCTTCAATATGATTCACCGGGAAATAACCTTTCGTACCGTTCACTTCACCATACCACCAATCAGCATTAGTTTTACGATAAATACTAACAATATCACCTAAAAAATATTGTAAAAATATTTAACAGATAAAAGAGAGAGAGAGAGAATGAAATGAAAAGATAGGAATGTGAATCAATAAAAGCATAGCTCTAGAGTTTTACGGAGATGGCAGCTTTACCTTGAAATCATGAATCGATCATTGTTAGACCGACATCATTAGAAGAAACCTAGTAAGTACTGAAAGACAGCCGCTTCATACTGGTATAAGACTTATCAGTGGTAGTGCACAGGCATGACTTCTGCCCAGATGTAGGATTCCAAACCAAGGACCTGAGCTATGTTTTGTGGTGTAGGAGTAGGTTGGAAGAAAGCTAGGGGCGGCCAGACCAAGACATGGCACAAATCCATGAAGTCACTAGCAACTGGACTGAGCCATGTTGGAAGATGTAGACTACCTGGTTGGGGTCCACGAGACGAAAGTCATCAATGGTTAGAGACCTTGAAGGACATGGCTCAAAATCGTTAGCAATGGCGCAGGTGCATCATCACAATCTCTACCTTTCTCCTTCTAAATTTATCTGACTGCATTATACTTCTCTAATCATATCTTCGCTTCCTAATCTTCTCCATTACTGATAATACTTTCACTCTTGGATTTGAACTGACAGTTGCGTCTGTGTGCTGATGTGGTATGGCAACCTGAACTGATGTATTTACGTAGGAAGATGTAAAAGCCATAACATATCTAGGTAGTATTATTAATGAGCCAGGTGAATCTAATGCAGATATGAATGCGCGGATCGGAAAAGCGAGAGCGGCATTTGTGAGATTGAAGTACAATTGGAACTCAAAACAACTGTCAACAAACACCGAAGTCACAATTTTCAATACGAATGTCCAGACAGATCTACTGTATGGGGTGGAAACTTGGAGAATTACGAAAGCCATCATCCAGAAGATTCAAGTATTTATTTACAGTTGTCTACGCAAACTACTTCGTATTTGTTGGCAGGACACCATCAACAACAACCGAGTGTGGGAGAGACCAAACTAGATTCCAGCAGAGGAAGAAATCAGGGAGAGGAGCTGGAGTTAGTGGAGAGAACATATATTGAGGAAAGCACCCAACTGCATCACATGACAAGCCCTCACCTGGAATCCTCAAGGCCAAAGGAAAAGACGGAGGTGAAGGAACACATTACACCGAGAAATGGAGACAGACATAAGAAGAATGAACAAAAATTGGATAGAACTGGGAAGGCCGGGGAAAGAATAGGTTTGAGAGTGCTGGTCGGCGGTCTATGCACCATCAGGAGTAACAGGAGTAAGTAAATAAACAAGTAACTTATTCACCTCAGAGTCTAATCGCAAACATGGTGGAACAACTTCAAGCAATAACTGGTGACCAAAAATAAGCCTGCAAGTCATTTCCTGTCTCAGTAGCCTAGAGACCAACTACACAACTGGTTAAAAAACCACTGTTTCCGAAGCAAATGTTGTTGTGGACGTTGGATACCCAGAACTCACTTGGGAAAGGTCCTAATTTTGGATTTTGTTTTCGCGCATAGGCTGATCAGTTGACATTGAGATTATATTTCCCGCCCAGAATATCCTTGATTGTCATTGGTGGACGATTTATTTTAGTACGCTATTTTGTGGCTTTCACTAAGGGCGTTTTTATCATTGTATTAATAAGCTTGGTTTGTGTGCTTGTTGACCTCGTACTTTCTGGTTGCTTGTAGAACACATTCTCTATGCCTTATCAAGGCTTCTTACTATAGTTAGCAGGGCCAGGGACAATCGAGTCAGAATAGCCTATCGTGTCACTGCATCATGTCTTCGCTATCGTTTACCCAGTAAGTTCAACTGGTAATAGTTTCAAACATATCCAATTGATGAGCTTATTAAATGTATTGCTTACAAAAGTGAAAGGTTGAAAAAACTAGCTTATTGTTTTAGTAATATTAAGTGACAGAATACATGTATATATATATATATATATATATATATATATATATATATATAAGTGATGGATGTTATTATTACCTTCTTGTAAATGAATTTCATTAGAATTTCTCGGTAAATAATTTCGTTGAACTTTAGCCCAACCTAAACATCGCAAATTGATAGAAGACTCCATTTCTACATTCAAATTCAAATTGTCGCCATTATCCTCAGCATCATCATCATCATCATTGATGGAACCGGTATTATTGCCGGAGTCAAGTGAACAAGAACCAGTTGGAATATGCACAATGCGTAAACATGATGGTTCAGATATTTCAGATTTAATGATTAATGATTTTTTGACTGATAAATTATTACTGTTTTGATGAAGCTTGATGTCCGGTTGGTGAAGGTTAGATTGTTGTTGCTGTTTATTGTTGTTAGGCAATCCACCACGTAGTCCATGAGTGAGACGTGACCAAAATGAGTTATTCTGCGTAAATAATTGGAACATACACACACATATATATTTATGCATAAATATTTGCAAGACAGCGAAGAATTACTGTGTTGGGGACGTTAGATCCCCAGAACTGACTCGGGAAAAGGTCTTAATTTTTCAATTTTATTCTGAAATTTTAAATTTTAATGTTTTCGCGCCAAAGAGGCTCATTTTGACCTTCCGCTTACATTGCCCACTCGGAAAATCCTTGACTTAGTACGGTATTTTGTGGCTCTCACCAAGGGCGTTGCTATCATTGTATAAATAAGCTTGAGATGTGGGCTTGACGACCTTGTACTTTCTGGGTGCTTGTGGAATACATTTCTCTACGTCTTATCAAGACTTCTTCCTGTAGTTAGTGGGGTCTATCGTGTTGCTAAACCATAGATCTCCGTTCTTTTTACCGAGTAAGATGAGCTCGTAAATAGATAATGCATATCAACCTGTCTAACATTGCTCATACGTTTAAATATTAGTATAACCTGTGTAGATTGATGTTAGAATTCAAAGGATATGTCTAAGTGTATTCAATCATCGAGTGGCCTAAAATAGGCCGGAATGCATCTCAGTGTTAACCACAGTTTGCCTATTTGTACAGAAAGAGTGAAGCAATTAGTTCAGAAACTGATCTGAAGATATTCGACAAAGCTGAAATTACTTTCATTTATAAAACATGGTAGTTTACTAGACTTTAGAGCAAAAAACAAACAGGGGTGATAGGTCAATGTGCCCAAATCTGCATTCAAGTATATCCATAAACACGGATTGAAGTTATAGTTGGGACTTCATCTAAGTAGTCTAAATTGATTTACGTATATTAGACTAGTAGCCAATGAGTTGGTCTGACATTTTAGGTAAAACATTCCTAGATTTAATCACAGGTTCTCCTACGTAAGTAAATAACAGATAAGGATGGCAGATCAATTGATGAAGTAGTGAATCTTCATCAGCTGAAGTGGTTGAAACATGTGTTAAGTATGGCCTAACCACCAACTGCCTCGACGAGCGATATTGTCTGATGTAGGGAGTAGGCTGGAAGAAAGCTAGGGGCGGACAAACCAAAACATAGCACAAATCAATGAAGTCACTAACAACTGGATTGAGCCAAGCTAGTAGATGTAGACCAGCAGGTTGGAGTCCACGAGACAATAGTAACCGGTGGTTAGAGACTTTCAATGACATGGCTCAAAATAGTTTGCAATGGTACAGATGCATCCATCCATCTTCTAAATTGCAGCCTGGAATTGAATTCATTTCTATTGGTCAGTCTATCGGTAGGTTTTAAGCATTATTAGCACAGATCAATAATGGCTGGCAGTTAAATCCAGGACGTGCGTTTTGTCCTACTTGGGACTCATCTGCAGCTTGATGCAATTACATTCTTGGGTTGATGCTCACTTTAGGACTTGAACTCAGTACTGTTCGCTTTAGCAGCTAAGTCCCTAACGCGATGGTTTTGAAGCAAACAGCGAACTGATTTAGAACGTCGGCGTGAATATCCACTCTGAGATACAGGCACATCTAGCTGCAGACGAGTCTCATGTAGAACAAAGCGAGCGTCGTGGATTCCACTGCTAGCCATTATCTATCTCTGCTACTAAAGCCTGGACTTTACAGCAAAATATTCCAACAAATCTATGTACAAACTACATTATTAAGCGTATATAAATTCAACCATATGTTATTACAACGACTAATACAAATATCACTAACTGGTAGCATTTCTTTAGAATTTTCAATATTCTCTGAAGTAATCGATGATTTGGCAGCTGGAGGAACTGATGATGATGATGTTGATGTATCATATTTATCCATAGAATCGTCAGTTTCAATTTCATCTATTACCAATGGTACAATAGGTTTATGAGAATTCTTTGAATAATCAAGCATGGAATGTTTAGAAATATTGTTAATGTTATTTTTCACTGTACTTAAACTACTACTAATATGAGAGGTAGTAGTAGTAGCAGTAGTAGTAGTAGTTATAGTATGACTGATTCGGTCAGATTGAATTCTACTTAGCGCAGGTGATTGTTTTTTAGGAATGATTACTTTATCAGAAGATTGTTTGGTTGTGGAGAATCGATTATTGATTTCTAATGATTGATCATTAGGAATGATATTATTGTGTGGTTTTCCATCAAAATGTAAAGAATTCTTCAATGTACTACGACAAGGCTTTTCGATCATATTCGCATTATTACGTGTAGTTTTGGTTGAAATGAGATTAGTTGATCGAATTGAACATAGATTATTATGAGATAATAAATCTTCTTCAGTTATTGAATGGTTATTGAATGGCGGATGAATATCACTGGATACGGTTCCATTGTCAATATTATGATGTGTTGAATTTACCATATGAAATGATTGTGTTTTCAGTTGATCACGAATTTGTTCAATGTCCAATTGGAATAGATCATTGTTTATATTTTCATGTATAATATCTTGTACAGGAAATGGTGGCCATTCTGCCAAAGTATATTTTAACAACAAAGATTAAGAGAAAAAAACATTTTAACGATTTAATTTATTGATAACTGATAATAAAATAAGTACAAAAAAAGCTAGGATGGGGGATTGAACACTTCGGTTCTTGTTCAAAACTTATCAACACGTTTCGAAATCAAATAAGAACAAAAAATGTTTGTTTGTCTTAGATAAAAAATTTTTAACTTGGTATTGTTTTCGGAGAGTTCCAAATTATTCCTCAACAAAGGTTTTACATGAACTCAGAAAATGCTCACGTTGAATAGAACATTTGCGGAAGCATCGGAAAATGGAAAGCAGACTTGACATGATTTTGATTGGGTATTTTACCCATACCGTTACTCTGTTTAGAGAACAGTTACAGAAAATCCTGGGTGCGCAGTCATGTGTGACTCTATAAAATACCCTAGTATTTTTGTCCGTAAGACTAACCTTGAAGTAAGCCGTTATTATCGCGGATCGCAACTTTTCTTTTGTGTACAATGTGCTGTGTATATTAAGTCTAGAATTATTAAAAACAGCTAGGAAATCGGATAGAATGTTCCCCTAAGAATACTGAATGATGATATTATTGATTTCTGTCATTTGAATTTTTGGAATTAGACTAAACAGTTCAAAATCGATGAACTTAGTAGATGTAAACAAAATATCTGTCCATTGTACATGAATCTTCTATTTTTGTTTAAAATAATTATTCAAATTGACAACATTTGATTGACAAAATACAAAAACCGATTGATAATTTTATCGAGACATTTCATTGTACACCAAAGTAAGCGCCTATAAATAGGGAAGAGAAAATTCAAGTCAATCAGATAAAACACTGAAGCAGGTTCACATAGATAAACCATGTTAGTAAAATGAGATGATAAACATGAAGATTAAACATAAACAGGTGGAGTTAGTATTCATAGCCTCTTACTGGTAGTGGAACAAGATCACGCATAAACAGTATGATTTAAAGAGTAGGAATACATTTACGGGATAAAAGGTTGAATTTCGTAAGGATCGATCGTGTAGCGACCGAATCGCAACATTACGGATCATTGTGGAACAATCAGTTGAATAGAACTCACTACTCTACATCTACTTCATTGACTACGAGAAAGAATTTGGAAGTGTGGACAGAAAAAAACTATGGAGGTTTCTTCAACACCATGGCATGCCTGAGAACATACTCCACATCAAAAGGAATTCTTATGATGGACAGCTAACAGACTCGTTAAGACCGGTATCACTCTCACTTTTTCTCTTTCACCTGTGGATCGACTGGATTATGAGGACGTCAACATTTGGAGGGAAGTACTGTATCCAATGGATAGCCAGGGTGAGGCTGGACGATCTGGATTTCACAGATGATCTAGCTCTGCTATCGCACCAGCAACAACAAATACAAGAGAAGATAATCAGTGTAGCAACAGGGTCATCAGCAGTAGGTCTCAACATACACAAAAGGAAGAAGCAACATTCTTCGATACAACACTACATACGCCAACCAAATCACTCTTGATGAAGATGTTAGGGAGGATATAAAAACCTTTACATATCTTGGCAGCATCATTGATGAGCAAGGTGGATCTGATGCAGATGTGAAGGCGTGGATCAGTTAAGCAAGAGCTGCATTTCTACAGCTGAAAAATATCTGGAACTCCAAACAACTGTCAACAAACACCAAAACCACAATTTTTAATGCAAATGTCAAGACAGTTCTACTGAATGGTCTGGAAACTTGGAGAATTACGAAAGCCATCCTCTACAAGACATAAATATTCATTAACAGTTGTCTACACAGACAGACAGACAGATACAACGCAGAACTTCGTACGTAAGTACATAAGTTCAGGTTGCCATGCCCCATCAGCACAGAGACGCAACTGTCAGTTCAAATCCAACAGTGATAGCAATAATAGAAGTATTAGCAGTAATGGAGAAGATTAGGGAGCGAAAACATGATTCGAGAAGTATAATTCAGTTAGATAAATTTAGAAGGAGAAACGTAGGGATTATGAGGGAGGCAGAAGCTTATAATTTCATAGAACACAAGGAGTGGATGCACCTGCGCCATTGCAAACGATTCTGAGTCATGTCGTTCAGGGTCTCTAACCATCGATTACTATCGTCTCGCGGACCCCAACCAGGTAACCTACATCTACCAACATGACTCAGTCCACTTGTCAGTGAATTCATGAAAGATGTCTACACAAAATACTTCATATCCGTTGGCAAGACACCATCAGCAACAACCTATTGTGTGAGAGAACAAACCAAATTCCAGCTGAGGAAGAAATTAGGAAGAAGCGCTGGAGTAAGTGGATAGGAAACACATTCAGGAATGTACCCAACTGCATCAAAAGGTAAGCTCTCACATAGAACCTCCAAGGCCAAAGGAAAAGACGGAGGTGAAGGGATACAATGGAGACAGACATGAGAAGAATGAACAAAAATTGGACAGAACTGGAAAGGCAGTGGAAGGACAGAGTGGGATGGAGAGCACTGGTCACCGGTCTATGCTCCACTGGGGGTAAGCAACCAACAAATTTTTTATTAGACGACTAAATATCACCGTTGTCAAATAAATAAAAAATTTCACAAGATTTATTTATAAAATTTATGTAGCCAACATAAAATCCACAACCTAGAAAAAGTGTACTAATGTATTAATGCTTTACAAACTAATGTGTACAGAAAAAATTTATTCTTACAAACAAATACTGTTATTTTTTTTCAAAAAAAATATCAATAAAAAGGTGTCTTGTAAAATAAAATGGACAATAAGACTGTGCACTACCACATAAAAAATAATCAAATAAGAATGCTTAAATATTTTATACAAAACTGAATTCATTTGACGATCGATTATGCAACCAACCAAAAAAATGAACATTAACATTATTCAATTTAGTTGAAATCTGAAATAAATTCGAAATAATGATAAGCATTTAAAGCATTACAACTATGTAAATTATTATTAGTAAATATATTTGTACTTGTTACGAATGCAAGTAAACATGTCTATTTGATAGGCTTGAATTATATGACGAGTTTGCCTTAGTCGGTAAACAAAAGCGAGGATCCGGCGACACGATATGCCACTCTAATCCGATTGTCCCAACAACCCATTGAGTAAAAGATGAAGACTTGATATGAAGTAGAACATGTATTCTTTAAGCATCCAGAAAGTACGAGGTCAGAGTACAGAAGAAGGCAAGGATCCCGGACTAGGGATCCGGGTCCAGGTCATAAAACGTCACAGACAATGCATATTTATACAGTTAGGTCGAATAGGAACCAACATTGAAGTACGTGACATTGATAGCTAGGACGACCATAATATTGACCAATAGAATTAGACCTACAAACGACAACCACAAATAAGAGCTCCATCATCATATCATTTCACTACTCAGCAACTAAGAGAATGAGGCTTTAATGACACGGTCTTAAGCATTATTAACACTGTTTCGTGTTTTCAACAGCATGAGTCAGTCAGTCAGTTACAAAGTAGAACTTCGTACGTACGTATATCAGTTCTGGTTGCCATACTACATTAGCACAGAGAGACGCAACTGTGAATTCAAATCCTGTAGTATTAAAGATAGTAGAAGTATTACAGGTAATGGAGAAGATTGGGGTTCGCAGATATTATTTGAGAAGTAGAATCTAGTGAAATAAACTTAGAAAGAAACAGATAAAGGTAATGAGGAATTAGGAAGTTTATGATCTGACAAAACACTCTACTCTGACTGACTACGTTCCACAGGACTGAGCGAACTGATGCGCAGTACACTCTTCCTTTAGTCAGCAAACGGATATCTCGCCTACGCCATAAGTGACACAAGTTGGCAAAAGCCAGTGAACCTTTCTGTATCCGTGCTGAGATTTCTTCAGACACCAGATCATCGGCACTGATGAGACTACTCAAATAAGGGAAGCGGTCAACACGCTCGACTACTTCACCTCCTATCATTAGTTCAGGTGCCGAAGCAACCCAATCTTGAAGCATCATTTTGCATTTCGAGGGGGAAAACCGCACTCCGCACATGCTTGCTTTGTTGCTTAGGGTGGTCAGAAGACTCTGCATTTTGTCAGCGTCTTCACCAAGTAGGACTATGTCATCGGCATATTCTAAGTCGATAAGCGAGCCTCCTGTTAGAAGATCTACCCTTGAAAAGTCAGACGAAGATATTTAACAACATGATGATTTTTGCAGTTCAAGTGGGTTAGTTTTATGCAAAAAATAATTTATTTGCTGCTGCTGCTACTGATGACTGACTAACTGTACCATAACTGTAATGTATATCATTTTTCAATGAAAGGCTAATATTGTGTATTTTAATTTATTAGTCAATCAGTTTAAGAATAACACAAAAATCTTTGAACTGTTCAGAGTCAATGATGAATTGATTGATTGATAATGAAGCTAAGCACAATTGAATCTCGTAATCTTTGTCGACTATCGCTATTATTATTATTTGGATAGCATAAGCTTTAAAACAATGTTTAGCGCCTGGAAGGAATTGTTCAACAGAGAAAACATACCCATAAAGAGAGTGGGAGAGAAAGGATAGTATTTTTTTCACTAATTATTAAAAACAAACTGTCATTTCATTATTACAAAGAAAGGCTTAATTGAGAAAAAAACGAACACCAGCGCACAGTTGATGGGTCCCATACCAGGACGAAACACCCATCCAGTGCTTCCGGGTTTCTAATGGTGGTCTAACAATGATTGATTGATGATTTAAATGTGCAAAAAACACTAATTTCCATAAGTCTAATTGAAAAAAATCGTAAAATGTACTCACTAGTGACTAGCTTCGTAAAGAAATTATCGGAGTTCTAGTGAGAGGATGTGACCCGTGGAGTCCAACCCTGTTCGGTGTAGGCAGTAGCTGCCAAAGACAACTGGGTGAGATCGCGCGAAATCTATAGATTGGCCAGAATTGGACAATAATACCATCGGATGCCGGCCCAGTAGTCCAGAGGTTAGGCATTCGCGAGCAGGACCGAAGGTCCTCAGTTTGAATCCTGCAAGGTGCAGGAGTCGCGAATTCGCACTGCTGATGAGTCCTATACCAGGAAGAAAAAACCGTCTAGTGCTTCCAGGTTTCTGACGGTGGTCTAATAATGATTGATTGATGATTTCAATGTGTAAATCGCTCAAAAAAACGAGGTTTAGACAAGAAAAAAGGTATTGTCCCATAGAAAACTCACCGATTAAATTCAACTCATCATCAGTTAATCTATCCAAATCCGGTAAACCTATCCAACGTGATGTAATCAAATAAGCATTTTTTGGATCATGATTACTATGAATAGTAATGTTATTCTTGTTGTTGTAATTGAATTCAGAACAGGTATGCGGTGTAAGAATTAATTTGGAAAATCCAGCTTGTTGTAAACTTGAACATAATTCCGTGTTTTTTCAATGGCGATGATGATGACAAGGAGTTGAATAGTTTATGGTCGATGTCTTTAGTTTCTATTGAATTTGCATGAATCTGTTTTAAACTTTGCGTTAATTTTTGATGACATAACAAAAGATAAGTGAGACGTACACGTGAACAGTATAAACGATGACGTGCTTTCATCAATGTATCTACATCGGTGTATGATGGTTGGTGAGCGTAGACTTGTACTAAATTCGATAAACCTGGACAAAAAAGGAAACATATATCAAGCAGAAGAAGCATAAATCAGAAAACATACAATGAATTGATCAATCAATCAATCGGTTAGGATATTCATCAAATATCCGAAGATGATTATTTTTGGAAGTCTAATTCTATTGGTCAATGTATACTGGTCCATATTATGGTCGTCCTAATTATCAATGTCACAGATTTCAATGTTGTTTCCTATTCGACCTAACTGTATAAATATGCATTATCTGTAAAGCTTATTATCCCTTCTGTACTCGACCCCATAAACAACTTCATCTAACGGTGTTGTGTTCTGATATATTGGAGATTTGGGAACAGTATTTGGGGTCGTACTGGAATATCTGAATTTGGTAAATCGGTAGGATTTCGAATAGCCACATACCAGCATTATAACACAATCAATAAAACCAGTAAAGGCATTAAAAGTTTATTCATGATCTATGCTATATTGATATTGTTTTATTAATGTCTTGTCAATAATATAGGCATTGTAAAACGTGGTATATATATATATATATATATATATATATATATATAGGTGCACACACCGCTAAGCATGTAATAAATTTTTATTGCATTAATAAGCAAAATGTGAATGCGACACGAGTTTGAAACACATTGAAATGGTGTTTAATGGCCTACAATGACTCCGATATTAACGAATGATCGAGTATGTGATGAAATCAAACTTCCATTTCATTTCCCTCCATCATAATTAGGCGAACTTCGTTTGTGCGACGGCAATAATAATAAGGAGAAGAGGCCAAATACGATTTTATGGACGCGCTTATATCTATCTCATACATTCATTTAAACAGAAGGACTAGAATGAAAAGCGTACAAACAAGGTGAAGCGAATTAGAGAAGGTGAACGAGTCAACCCGATGCGCGATGAAGCATGATTAGGTATTTTATAGTCAGACAAAATAAGCTGGACGTGTGTAGTAAGCAAATTAAGCGACACACATACACACTAAAAACTAAGGATACGGGAGAATAATTGGCAAGGAGAACTGGTCGATCAAATTGTCCAAAGACTAAGACGAGCCCTGTGGGCTCGAAATAAAAGTACACATAGAGTTGCATGTGATATCGAGTCACTTACAGTGGTAATCACATTGTAGCGTAATCGATATAACTTGATTTACACTTGAAGGACCTACACAAACGTGACATTGATCATTATTCAGTAACCAATGATACCTATAGGAAGTCAATGATCGTCAGTCTACCTCAGTGGTAATATCTTTCATTATGAAAATTGGGTAATGTGGTTTAGATTGTGTTGTGTTGAGTGATTGTTTGAGTATGATACTGATATAAATACTCCCTATACACTCACTAAACCTATTGTGTTTGAGTTAGAAAACTAAAAATGAGTAAGAAGGCTTCTTATTGATAAAATTTTTCTTAAAAAACTGCAACTGGTATGCAACACATCAAATAGAAATGATTTCCGAAAAAATGCTGAAAGCAATAAGTTTGTTTTCCATTTCACATTGACCACTTGGTACCATTAAAATGTTCAAAATAATTTATTATTCAGATTGATCCAAAATATTACTGGTAAAGGTATCATATACTGATGATCTAACAATCAACCAATCATAAATCAGATAACATATGGCGTATTTGGCGCAAAAATTTGAAATGCAGCAAGAAAGTACAGATTGGCAATTTCCAGTTTCTAAATTCCTTGAAATCAACCGAAATTTCTATTGTGAAACTGAGAAGTGAATTTAACGTAATGCTTCAGCTAAATTGTCAAAACATAAACTGCTCTCAAGGTAAATCACATTGTTAAAAAGTATTTGTTATGATTCAATGTATTGTCAATAGTGTTTCGGTGAAGTTAGGTAATATCTTTCTCATTTGTATCTACTACTACTGTAGTGAATGAGAACACAGGTGGGGTAACCGAATTGTATTTAACGAAAATTACAGAGTTACTCAGTAAAATCGGAAAACCATATCGTAAAATGTTCATTTGCAAAAGATCAGTTCATCCTATGGAACTGGACTGTTCCTGTTGCCAAACATCAATCCATTGTCACTATTCATGCGTTTCATACAAATTCCATTGTTTTCTAACTCTTCCTTTCTTGATCTTCCCCCCATATTATGCTACCAGACTTTACGTTGACACTCACGTTATATACTACTTATAAGTACTTCGCACCACAGCACCACACTACTACTCAAAATCTCAACTATAAAACTCTTGAGTTTGTAAACAGTAGAATGACAAAGCATCATATAATAGCTAATGTCAGTTTTTGATGAAAACTTCAAACCTAACTGTTAGGATATTCATCAAATATCCTAAAAGAATTATTTTTGTCTATTGGTCAATATTATTATCATCCTAGTTATCAATGTCACGTACTTCAATGTTGTTTCTGAGTGGTCGTCCTGACTATCAATGTTACAGACTTCAATGTTGGTTCCTATTCGACTTAACTGTATAAATATGCATTATCTGTAACGTTTTATAACCTGGACCCGGATTCCTAGTCCGGGATCCTTGCCTTCTTTTGTACTCTGACCTCGTACTTTCTGGATGCTTAAAGAATACATGTTCTACTTCATATCAAGTCTTCATCTTTTACTCAATGGGTTGTTGGGACAATCGGATTAGAGTGGCATATCGTGTCGCCGGATCCTCGCTTTTGTTTACCGACTAAGGCAAACTCGTAATATAATTCAAGCCTATCAAATGACGTCTTTACGTGCATGTGTAACACTAACCCTGACAAATACTAAACTCTAGCTTATAACTATTAATATCTAACCTTAAACGTTTTTAGATTATCACAAGAGTTACAGTTGATGACAAAATAAAACTCTGTGGTGATGATAACCTAAAACATAACACTAACATGTCAATTTAAGTTCTTATCCTTTAACTACAAAGCACAGAATAATTTCATATGTGAGGGTTAATTATTCAATCCGATCTAAACTGTTATTCCATATTTTTGATAACTAAAGAGAATTTTTCTTGATTGCCGACCGATAGATCTTTCAAGGTTGTCGTTGTAAAAATACTTTCTGATTGTTAGTACCAGTTAAAAGAAAATTCCGTAACTTTTCTAGAAAGGCAAGTCAGAATTCAAATGATACACACACACAGAGAGAGAGATAGAGGGAGTGACACACGGTACACACAGACCAAACCACCGAAAGTGACAAATTGAAAAACTATCATTATTGTTACCTGACAGGCTTGCAGCTATTTACGAGTTTACCTTATTTGGTAAATGGAACGAAGGTTAACGATACGGTGACACGATAGGCTATTCTAATCCGATTGTCTCAAGGCCCCACTAACTACAGGAATTAGTCTTGATAAGGCGCAGAGAATGTTATTCTACAGCCACCAAGAAAGGTTGAGGTTGTCAAACACACAACTGAAGCCCATTTATACAATAATTAAAAACGCCCTTGGTGAGAGCCATAAAATAGCATACTAAAATAATCCATCAACCAATAACATCCAAGGATTTCCCCGAGTGGGAAATGTAAGCTGAAGGTCAACGAGCGTCTTTGGCGCGAAAACACAAAGATTCAAAATTTCAGAATAAAATTGCAAAATTAGGACCTTTTCCCGAGTGAGTTCTGGGAAGCTAACGTGCTCAAAATTACCAAATCAAATATTAAAACTCACCTCTTTTTGTACGACGTTCTTTTTCAATATCTTTAGTTAACAAATCAAGTATTGTTAATATTGACCATTTAGTTAAATAGGATTGAATGATTACATGTGATGTGGAATCGGTGACTTTGGTAGGCACAGTTTCTTTGTCTGAGGATAAAAAGAGAGAAATTGACAATTTAAGAAAAATCACAATTCACTCAACCAATGATTATTTACACACACACACAATAAGTGAAGTGATTAGATTTGGACAAAACAAGCATGTGATATAAACATTGATTTCACATGAAAAAAAAATAGATTTTTCAAGTTGTGAAACTAACTTTCAGTCATGAACAAGAGCTGTATGACTGAGGTTGTCAATCCCCAGCTGACTAAACCTTTGAAGGACATAAAAAGGGAACTGGATTGGCACTGGTCGTAGTGACCAAGGAGAGTGAGCGTAAAATGCTAGCAACAACTGGTTTATAAGCCGGTTATAGCCCTTCTATGAGAAGTTTTTTAAAGTGCTGGTTTCGTGCTTTGGAAGGCCTTAGCACTAGAGATGGAAATTTGTAGCGTGAGGGTCGACCATTTGATACTCCTTCCTTCCTTCAGTTGTGAGAAGGTACTATCATTTCAGACCATACAGCTCGGTCGAATCATCAAGATAGGCAAACATGATCATTTCACCAATAGAGTAGCCACAGTCAGGGAAATTAAGTTTATTTGTACGCATTTACACTTACACAAACCGATAGCTTCTTTTTAACTCACTAGTTCAGTGGTACTTCGTACCTACCCACATCAATTCAAGTTGCCATACCACATTAGCATACAGAGATCGAATTGTCAAGTCAAATCCCATAGTAGTGCAAGTAGTAGAAGTGTTAACGGTAATCAAAAAGATTAGTGACCGAAGGTATCATTCGAAAAATTTATCCAGGAGGAATGAATTTAAAAAAAGGGAAAAGGAGAAAAAACGGCGATGAGGAATTCAGAAGAATAGGATTTCATAGAACACAAAGAATGGATGCACCTGCGCCATTACAAACAATTTTGAGCCACGTTATTCAAGGTCTCTAACCATCGTTTACTATCATCTCGCGGACACCAACTTGATGGTAGCGTCTACACCATCCAATATCACTCATTTCACTTGTCAGTGACTTCATGGATTTTTGCCCTGTTTTGGTTCGTCCGCCTCTAGTTTTCTTCCAGCCTAATCGTACACCAGACATCATCACTCACCGAATGATATAAGTACAACTAACTGTCTAGATCTAAATAGAATAAAACACGCTTCGTGCATTTCACTGTTAGCGGCTATGCAAACTTTCATGTTAAGCTAATCGTTTTTAAGAAACATAAGCAAAAATATATCATGTATTATTTTTCAAATACAATTTTTATTCATTTAAGTAACAATATAATAATGTGAAAGTCATTCCAATTACAATGTCACAACTATACTTTCTCACATTCTTGGCATGACATTTTTTAAATTCTTATTCAAAAAAGTGTACTTATATTCAAATAAATAAATAAATGATGGACGTATCACAGTTAGAAATTTTTCAATTTCACTCAGCCTACAGCAAGTCTATTTGTTATTAATCGACACACTCTGTGGGGTGTGAAGCAGTGCCTACCGAACATAGTAGATGAGGTTACGCAAGACCGTGGATTAATCGAAATTACGCATTAACACCGGTTCCTGGTGCTTGGGGTTAAGCGTTCCTGCGCAAGACCCAGGGTCCCGGGTTCGAATGCTGTTAGTAGCAGGAGCCGTGGATACGCACTGTTGACGAGTCCCACACTAGGACAAAACGGACGTCCAGTGCCTTCAGGTTTCTAATGGTGGTCTAACAATGATCAAGTCATGATTTCAAGATAAATAAATTGGCAGGATTTTTTATATTTATAAATTTATTATCAAGTAAAAGAGAATACTGATAATTCACTAGGGAAATAAAAATAATCGCTTAACGGCATACCAGTTTTGAGATGTAGTAATAATATCTCCAGGAAATATTTTAACTAATTTTTAGTGTATAGGGGTTTGCGCATATTGTCCAGTTTTATTGGTTCATATCACTGACTGATCTTGGTTGGATAACTATTGAAAACTCGGTATTGTTGAACAGTTGTACTGAAGAAGCTCCTTAGCAGTGCACATTCACGACATCTAGCGAAACGATCACTGAAACGGCATTCAATTGTTTACCCATTCAGCTTACATTTGATATGATTAATTTTACCTGTCACGGGTTTCTCATCAGAATTCCAGGAATTACCTTCTGGAATTAGTAACTAAGGGCCATATAATTATTGGTTGATATCACGGATTAATCTGCGTTAGACAACTACTAAAGAGTCTCATAGTAAGACAAGACAGTTGCCCTGTATTTCTTGGTTTGATATGGTATTCCAGATATTATCAGTCTATAATGTAAACTACACAATCGAAATTTATTACAAAAATCCCTTCTAGATCATTATATATTTCAAGTGTTTTGATGACATGTAGTACACTTTGATAAGTTTCAACTATTACACAACGTTGGGTGAAGTAGAATTCCGCATCGACCAGCTTTAATTACCTACCCTATTGACTGCATAAAATTATTTAAACGTCTATGATTTAAACCAAATTTAAACCAACACGAAAAGAAAAAAATCCTCAACACTTACTTTTGTCAATAGATGTTTGCACTTTGCTTCTACGCGTCATATTTAATGCTGGTGATTTCAAAGATGGACTACTAGATGATCCCTGTTGTTGGTGTTGCTGCTGTTGCTGCAGTAATACATGTTCACATGGTAAATCAATGAGACGTTGAAGTGACCAACCAACATGCTTTGCATTCATGGAACTATTATCAGTTAGCTTTTGCTTTGAATTAGTTAATTGTTGTACTGATAATTGAGACAGTTCTTCTTGATGATGAGAACGATAACGAAAATTTTGTAAATCTATCAATGGGTCAGCTAAACTGATAGCATTCTATAAAATAAATAGAAAAAGAAAAGGAAAAAAAAGGAAGAAGACAAGAACGAGGCTTACATGAACAAAAAGAATTTCATTGACAAATTAGTTATTGAATATTTTTCTCGGAATTTCATTTATCAAGTCGATTGAGTATAGGGGTGAGGGCTATGCATACTACTATTACTACTACTTGGTTATCTAAAGTGAAGTAGCCAGGGATGGGTTCAAACCTAGGGCAGTGGATGTAAGCTGGAACCATTTCTCGAATTGATGAAAACATCTAGCATGAAAGTAATTCAGTGAATGACAAGTGATATTTCAATTGATTGTCTTAATATTACAAGATTCGCTAACAATAAATTCACTGTTGATTTACAGAAAGTAAAGAAAAGTAAAGTCAATATATTAACAGTATGATAGGACACTTGAAGTTGGCTTGATGGTTTAGTTAGCGGCGAGAGGTGATAAAAGGATGTGAGGTTTGGTCACGGAAGTACGACGGTTATTAGGTGTAGAAAGGATTTGATTGTGACTCACTCGGTATCGTGTGCTGTCATGGGTATGAGGGAGGAGGATGTCACTTCCCGGCTGCTAACACCAAGGAAGGGTGTTTCTTGGAGAACCCGGAAAGGAAGTTGGATTAGTGTTGGTCTTAGTGGCCTGGGAGCATGACCGCAGAGTTTAAGGGACAACTTCTTGCAACCAATCACACGTGGCCCTTTGATGGAAGTGTTAGCTCCGATATTTTTAGTAGTCCCTACCGCCGGAGACGGGAATCCGTGAGGTAGGGTGAGGTGTGACATTTTTAGGGTCGACCTTTTCTAACCCTTTCTTCTTTGTGAGAAGGCAGCATCGCTGCCGATGCTGGTTGTCCGAGGGCAAAACCTTACTACTGTCACACCCCTATGCAGTCAGCAGTACGACTTCGCCCTCAGACCTAGAGTAGCTGCTTTTAGTCTCATCGTTCTCCAATCGACCTGCCTGGCATGATAAGATCTAAAGGAACATATATATAGCTCGGTTGGATCATCATGATAGGCAAGCCCGACCACCACGTCAAGGTCGGCCACTAAAGCTGAGGAGAAAGATTAATCACTCGTTCCTTCTGTTTACATAAATTGAGTCGGAATCGTTTGTTGAGTGAGCACCTTTACAAAGCAAAGTGAAATTTGTTTTTGTCTTTTAATCGTTTTGTGAATGTATCGCTTACATTCAGTTCATGTCCAGTATAAAAAAGATGCCTGATAATTGCCTTTGTCAGCGCTTTACTCACTTTTTGGTGTAGGCCTCTAGGAATGTGTTCAGTGAACAAAGTATAAACAGCTCTCTATGACTTTACTAGCTAACGCAGATACATCTAATTACATAGATACAATTGGAGGTAACATAGAAAGGGTATTTTAATTTACTCTTCATGCCAAAATATTTATTACTGAAATCATGAATCGATGATTGTTAGACCGCCATTAGAAACCTCATAGCACTGAATGGCCGTTTGGTCCTGGTACGAGACAGCATCAGTGGCAGTGCGCAACCACAACTCCTGCTACTCGTAGGATTCGAACCTAGGATCTTCGGTCTTGCGCGCGAACGCCTAGCTTATTATCATGCTAAATGATTATACAATCCGTGGTCCATTCCATTACCCTTACACATAATCTGTCCTATCTTGATCATCATTACTGGTCATTGTATCAATTCATCTATCCTGCAATCACTACTACTTTCCTAAGTATAGAAATATACATCGATTTGAACTAAATGTTATTATTCAAACATTTTGTGTCTCTACTCTATTTCTTCTGATACTTTTGATTATGTTTCGAACAGTTATCTGATAAATTAAAGTTTGTTAAACATTCTTTTTAAAATTATATATTAGTAAATGTGGTTTTTTTGTTGGGATATTCATTAAACATCCTGAGAGAATTATTGGTCAATTCCTATTGGTTTATTCTTACGGGTCAATATTATGTTCGTCCTAACTGTCAATATCACAGACTTTAATTCGATCTAACTGTATAAATACGCATTATCTGTAACGTTTTATAACCCGGACCCAGATCCTTACTGCAGGATACTGATGCTCTTCCGGACTCGGGCCTCGTACTTTGTGGATGCTTTTAGAGTACATGTTCTACTTCATATCAAGTCTTCTTTTTTTACTCAATGGGTTGTTGGGACAATCGGATGAGAGTAGCCTGTCGTGTCGCCGAATCTTCGTACTCGTTTACTGACTCGTAATATAATTCAAGCATATCAAATTGACATGTTTACGTGCATTCGTAACAGTTGCATACCACTGATAAGAAACTGTGTGTAAATTCACTTTCGTTGCCATAATTTATTGTATATATATGTATAAAATTTGTTGTTCTTGTTGCCTTCCTTTTCTCTATGTATTATAAAGAGATTTAGTTGTACATAAATAAATCCAAAATAATAATGATAATAATCACTACATACAGCTAATTCGTTTAGAGCAGCTTTCCATATTGGCAATGCATTGTCTAATGTATTACGATAAACTTGTAAACCATGCGTCAAACTTGTTAAACGATCATTTTCCAATGTTTGTTGATCACTGAGACACTGAAATGTGGAAATTGAGATTAATCGGGAAAAAAATGAGCAAAATGATCATCATTTAAAAAATATTACCGATAGAATTGTTTAAGAATGAGACTGTTCAACAATGATCATAGGAGAGACAAAACCATGTAAAGGGGGGGGTATGAAGCAGTTACCTATGGAAGACAACAGAAGTCATTTGTACAATGGCATGGGTTGTTTAGAGTTTAGGGTTTGCTAACCAAAGGACGAGTGTACTGTGCAGTAGTTCGCTTCGTCCTACTTTATGGATGCGAAACATGGCCGGTGAGAGTAGAGGACATTCGTAGATTGCTTGTCTTCGATCATAGGTGTCTCCGAAGCATTCCTCGTGTATCATGGTACAACCGAGTAAGCAATGCTGTCGTTAGGAAACGAACTCTAGGTAGGGATGGCAAATCAAAAGATGACGTTGTGAAACTTCATCAGTTGAGGTGGTTTGGACATGTGTTACGTATGCCTAACCACCGACAGCCTCGACGAGCTATGTTTTGTGGTGTACGAGTAGGTTGGAAGAAAATTAAGGGAGGCCAAACCAAAACATAGCACAAATCCATGAAGTTACTGACAAGTGGACTGAGTCATGTTGATAGATGTAGGCTACCTGGTTGAGGTCACCAATGGTTAGATACCTTGAACGACATGGCTCAAAATGTTTTACAACGGCGCAAATGCATCCACTCTTTGTGTTCTCTCGAATTCTAACCTGAATTTCTCATCGTCTCTAACTTTCTCTTTCTAACTTTATCTCACTGAATTATACCCTAATTTTCTCCAATACTGCTAATACTTCTACTAATGCTACCACTATTGGATTTGAATTGACAGTTGCGTCTCAGTGCTAGTGCGGTGTGGCAACCAGAACTGATGTACATACATACGAAGTTCTGTGTCGTATCTGTCTATCTATTTATTAACACCGTTCGATGCCCGACTCAATGGTCTAGAGACTAAACGTTTGTTTGCAAGACTGGAGCTCCTGGGCTTTATTGTCGGCTGCAGGCTCATGGACAATTACTGTCACTGAGGTCTATCGCCGGGGCGAAACAGCTTTCTATTGCTTTCAGGTTTCCAATGTCTATCTAACTTCTAATCGGTTGGTGCTATCCATAAAATGCAACAATCACCACAAAATATATACTGAAAAATGAATGGCTGGGGATAAATAGCAAGGGTGTAATGAAATGCTGTCGTTATCATGTCCTGTGAAAGTCAAACGCTTACACATAATAAGGGCGTACAAATGTAAATATATAATGTCCAAATTTAAATAGTATAAACAGACTAACTTTCAAAATTTTCCAATGCCAATCAATTCTGGCTTCTTCAGCCGACAGACATGTTCGGTAATAATGAGTTAGACTTGTATAATAGGCGTCCCTCAACTAAAAATAAAAAATTCAATGAAAATATCATCAGATTTTAGTGAAATAACATTCGTAGAAATCAGTTCACCGATATGTGATATGATACGAGAACTCTCAGCATGGATACAAAAGGCTTGACTAGCTTTTGCCAACTTGCATCATTTATAGCGGAAGACTAGATATCTATCTATTAATCAATGGAAGGGTTTATTGCGCAGCAGTTTGCTCCGTCTTACTTTATGGCTGTGATACATGGCCAGTAAGAGAAGAAGATATTTGTACGTTACTATCATTCGATCATAGGTGTCTTCGAAGTATTGCTCAGATATCCTGAGGCCACAGAGTAAACAATGATGGGGTTAGGAAAAGGATACTAAGTAAGGGTGCCAAATCAGTTGATGAGGTACTGAATCTTCATCAGTTGAGATGGTATGGACATGTGTTACTTATGCACAACCACTGACTACCTCGACGAACGATGTTGTATGGTGTAAGAGTAAGCTGGAAGAAAGCTAGGGGGGGGCAAGACAAAAACATGGCATAAGTTCATGCAGTCACTGACAACTGGACTGAGCCATGTTAGTAGATGCAAACTACCTGGTCGATGTCCGCGTTACGATAGTACCCCGTAATTAGAGACTTTGACATGACAAGGCTTAAAATCGTTTGCAATGGCACAACAGATAAACCCATTCTTTGTCTTCTCTCAAGTTCTAGTCTTCTGAATCGCTCACGACATATGTTTCCTCTTTTTAAATTTATTTCACTAGAGTATACTACTTGAATCATGTCTTCGATTCCTAATGTTTTCACAAATACTGCTACAACTTCAACCACTATGGGATTTGAATTGAAAATTCCATCTCACCACAATAGTGGTATGACAACTTGAACTGATGTACGTTATTACGAAGTTCTACTTTGTAGCTAACTGACAGAATGATATAAAAATTAAAACAGACTGATAAACAGCAAAGCAAGTGATAACAACAAAAACTGTAAATACTTGTAGCTAAGGGATCAGAACAGGATCATTTATATAGATTGTGTACTCAGCCAACAGTCATTTTAGCGTTAATGACGGTTCGGATAAAAGTAAGAGGGTTAGACATGGGGTCAGTGACCGCATGTCCGAAGAAAACCAACTTGTTTACACAAAAAAACGCTAACCAGAACAAACCATTTAAGGCAGTGTACATCAAAAATTAATCTCAGTTGGAATAAAATTAACAAACTGCAGATGATTGACAAGTTGCTTCATTCCAGTACCGAACTCATCAACAGATCCAGGATCTGCAGATTAGTGATACTCCTGTTCATTCATTGGCTAGATATGAATTTTTCATATGCCACATTCATTAGTCATTTTTCACTTCATTTCAAAGATATTAATTAATCAATCGAAAATATTCAGAAAACAGCTATAATGAACATATGAACATGAGTTTACAGTGTATTGAAATTTAAAACAACAATTCAAACCTTATCAATGGTTAAACATTTTCGCCCGTTTGCATCTCCTGACGATGATAAACTGCTATGATGTCGAGTAATATTCGGTTTGCAATCAGTTGATGTTACGCTTGCATCTTTCAGATATTTTTTCTTATAAGGTAGAGAAGTATACAAACTGCTGAAACGTGAAGTAACAATCGAAGATGGACATGGTGAACTATCATCATTACTTAATTCTGAAATGGTTGTGTTTACTTCTGTAGCATCTACATGGATGGAATTTCGTCTAGTCAATAAATTATGTTTGAATGAGATATTGTTACTTGTAGTAGTATCTATAACTGGTGAAATATTGGTAATGTCAAATCTGTTCATGCTTAAACTACGTTTTTGATAGCCATGATTAGTAGGATTTGATTGATTTTCTTGATCACCGGTTGATTCCATATGATAATTATAATAAACTTGTTCATAATGACGAAAACATGTAAATAATTTATGTCTGGCATGGAATTCCATTGTGTACAATGAAAATAAATTATTTGTTTCTTTGTCTACACATTTTTTCAGCTTTGATCAACAAAAACAAAATAACAATTCAAAATGAAATCATGATTATAATTAGAGATTAATGGTGTTAGTGGGACATGGATGGAATAAAGCATGACTGCGTTAGCTGCGCGCTGATTGGCTAATTTCCTATCCAATCAGCGCCTGATCGATTCTTGGGGTACAGGGTAGAAAGTTCTCATGTTGTTAGCTGCACGCTGATTGGCTAAATCTAATCCAGTCGATCACGTGAATTACTATCCAGAAGCTTCTCATGTAAATACTACAATCTAACGTTGTATCTATTTTGCCTTCGTCTTCGGCTTCTTATTTGTATTTAACCTTGCTATTTGGAATATAATCTTTTCCAGTTCCACCGTGTTTTTGATTCTTTGGAACTTTTCCAGTGTATTGTGGTCAGAGAATACTAAGCAATAGGAACTAGCCGGGAATTATCTAAGCAAGCGTTACAACAAATGGAAACCGATTGATTTCACAGTTTACATGATGAACTGATATTAACTGGATAGACACTGAAAGTCAGGAAGCATTAGGCAGCTGCTACGTCTTCCTAGTACGAGATTCTAGTGGAGTGAGTATTTACCGTTTTACCAACGTGAACCAAACCCGGGACCATCGATCTCATGGAAAACACTTAGTCTTCACTTTATTCGAATCACAACATTCCGAGATCATCTTCCATAGCCTTCCATTGGCGAGTAAATCACTTCGCATTAAATTGATAACAGTTTCCTATCGGAAGAAAATCGTCGTATACTACAAATTCATTGATGTCAGACGATTAAATGCTGACTTATTGATGTAAGAGTTAAACTCCTGCTAAAAAATCTAAAGATTGTAGATGTGCACTACTGGGAAGTGTTATAACTAGAACAAAACAATTGTCTACTGCTTCCTAAATTTCAATGGTTATCTAACTCAGATCCAATCTATGATGCATACTGTAAAATACCTACTTATAAATGAAAGATCATTATTCGAAATCTTGCGGCATAAATAATATTGTCTGACGGATATGATAAGGCAAAAGCTAATAATAGCGAAACGATTAAAATTCACAAGATAAGCGGTTGGGCATTTTAATTTTCATAAATGCGGTTTAGCAAATGGCAAATTATCTATAAAACTGAAGTGAAACAAACGTTGAAAATATCATAGTGTTGGATAGTCCCGTTTCGTCCTGCTAACAGGATTCTTCAGTGGCAGCGTGTGCCCATGATTTCAAAACACGGAAACAGATGCAGAACATTCAGTTTGACACTCGAACACAACCTACAGGCCACCGGATCAGGAGTCTAATGGTATACATGTATAACTTTAGCCAAGACATGCTTGTACAAATATCATTGTATCTCATCATATACGCAATTCGCTGAAGGTATTCTTTCACTTCGAATGGAATAATTAATTTGTGATTTCAACCTGACTTATTCCTCCTGTGAATATATTTTGCTTAGGTTAAATTTCAGCTGTTTAGTTACATTATCAACCGTGAAAGTTGCTAATGAATTTAGACTGTTAGGTTGTCCAAATTATGAAAGACTATGCAAACTTTAATTTAGTCAATGAAAACAACTGTCAACCAACATCACGGTCAACATTTTCATCACAAACATCAAGATAGTTATAGTGTATGGAGCAGTAGGCTGGAGGATCACGAAAACCATCATCTACAAGATACAGGTGTTACTTGAAAGTTTTCCACGTAAGATCCTGAGGATCCATTGGTCAGACACCATCAACAATAACCTACTGTGAGAGAAAATAAATCAGAGTCCAGCTGATTGTCCTAGTCTATAAGAAAGGACAAAAGTCCTCTTGTGACAGTCACAGGGGAATAAGTCTAACTAATTCAGTTTCTAAATTGTTAGCCTTGACTTTACTTAGGCGCCTAACTAGAGCCCGTGAAGTGCAGACCAGGACGTGGCTGTGTAGACCACATATTTACACTACGACAGGTCCTAGAACACAGACATAAATTTCGGCGTCCGAAAACAGTTGTCTTTTTGGACCTTAGAGAGGCATTCAACTCTGTCGATCGTGAGGTTCTGTGGCAGTATATGTCACTGAAAAGTGTACCAGAGAAGTACATTAACCTTACACAGTCTCTCTAATCGAACACAATTGGTCTAGTGAGAGCTTCTAGCGAACTATCATCAGAATCGATTACTTAAAGTGGTGTCCATCAGGGTTATCCATGCTTGTTTAACTATGTCATTGACGGGCTTTTAGATACGACACTTGTATCATCTGACTTTTCAGGGGTTGAACTTTTACCAATAAATTCGTTTGTTGACTTAAACTATGCTGTCACTACTTAAGATAGTCGAGATATGTGTCATTTTGTAATCAGAGGCAATATTAGCTATAGTAATGGTGGTATTTCATGAATAGTCAAATATAGGTATACTCACAAAATAGCTAGAATTATTTGAGTAGTTATAAGTAATAAGCGTGCTTGATGAATGATCAAGATTCACTGAGAAATTCTGTAATTATTATTTATCTAATTGGTACAAAAGAGCACCAAAATATCTACGCGCTATACATAATGAATTTGTAAATGGGCTGGTATACTGTTTAACTGCACAAAAGGGTGCTTTTCTTAAAAAGGCACTCTACGAGCCTTTGACCCAGAGGTTTAATACGTAAGGCAACGGAACAAGCATGATAATTAATGACTCACAATAAGCCATTTGTTCAGTCAGGATCCTAGAGCCCATATATGTCAATAGTTTGAAATTAAGGTTTTCCAACTTCCATGGCTGGATCCTCCATTATTTACGCGCTGGACATTCGTTTATTACCCATTTTACCACGTCGCAAGAAGGTAGTGGCTACATACGAATGGCCATATGAAAGCATTTTAAGAGGGAGAGAGGACTCTCCCCACTTTCAGCCGTAGCAGGGTATTTGAGGGCGTTTGAATTAAGGCTTACAGTCAGGAGAGTTAGACAATATTTGAGATGCACAGTTAGGAGTTCGGTTAGAGTTGCGATTAGCATTTACATAGTGTTAGGAATTGAGTAGATGAATTCTTCGGCTACCCATAATCACTAATTGCTTATGCAACTGGTTCGTCGATTTGGAAAATCAATAACTCTGCTATGTTAACCTTAACAGATTCATGATTGAGTCTTTTCAAGCTTATTAAATAAATTAAGCATTTCACACCAGCTTTGTAATGGTAGTGTGTACTTACCTAATTTATACAAGTTATTCTGCACTGAGTGCTGAATTTCGCGCAAACATTCAAGAAGTGGTGGTAGTGGGGGTGGTCGCTTAAAATCTGATTGGTTTATCATTACAATATACTTTTATTGTTTATTGTTTCAATGTATGCTATGGTATTTCAAAATTTAACTCGACAAGACAAAATAATCCTTTGTAAATGATAGGAAATGTGAATAAGTTATATTATGAAAAAAATCTAACGCTGCTAACTAACTCTCTCTAATATAGGAAGCTTAGATAGGAAAAATAGGAATAATCAATAATATACCATGCCCGAATATACCAAAGGCGCATAAAATATTCAACACAATAATATAAGAAAAAGAAAAAAAAACGACTACCAACACTTACTGACTTTTTGTCTTTTTTAAATGTTTCAATTAAATTGTTTAATGGTTGAATTAAATTAGTCAATAGATTTTGAACAATGCTTTCATTTAATTGTGATTCCATTTCTAAAGCAGTAGCTATTCGTAGCCAAGCTGTATGAATTGTACTATAATATAAGAGAGCATGAACAATATAAAAATAAATTATTTTATTTTTTTTTAGTAGGTTGTGTGTGCATTTTATTAATGAAGATGATGATTTGAAAGACAGCTAAGTGTTTTATTCAACTAACTTGCCTGGTCGCATCGCACTTCTTATGCTGCATATTAGTTAATGGTATTCTCAATTTTGCTTAGAGTTATAAGAAAGGTATTTCAATTTACTAGTCTTCGATCATCGATGTCTCCGAAGCATTCCTCGTGTATCCTGGGACGACCGAGTAAGCAATGCTGATGTTAGGAAACGTGTTCTAGGTAAGGATGCCAAATCAATAGGTGAAGCATTGAAATTTCATCAGTTGAGGTAGTTGGGACATGTGGTACGTATGGCTAACCACCGACTGCCTCGACTAGCTATGTTTTGTGGTGTAGCAATAGGTTAAATGAAAGCTAGTGGTGGCCACACTAAAACATGGCACAAATTCATGGAGTCACTGAGAAGTGGACTGAGTCATGTTGGTAGATGTAGGCTATCTGGTTGGGGTCCGCGAGACGAAAGTCACCAATGGTTAGAGACCTTGAACGACATGGCTCAAAATCGTTTGCAATGGCGCATGTGCATCCATTCTTTGTGTTCTCTCTAATTCTAACCTTCTGAATTCCGCTTAATCTCTATCTTTCTCCTTCTAAATTTATCTCACTGAATTATACTGTTCGAATCATATCTTCTCGATTGCTGCTAATGATTCTACTATCGCCATCACTCTTGGATTTGAACTGACAGTTACCTCTCTGTGCTGACGTGGTATGGCAACCTGAACTGATGTACTTATGTACGAAGTTCTGCGATGTATCTGTCTGTCTGTATTTCAATTTACGGGTAACCAATGGACAATTGGGGTGTTCTACTCATCGGTACAATAGTCTGTCATTTTTGCAGCTATTTTCTTGTGTAAGCTGGAACAGTTGTTATGGAAATGAACAAATCCATTTCTTGATCAATAATGGTATGCATTTGTATTTTAGAGCATTTCTGATAGTTAATTAAATTACTCCTCCCGTTTCGCCACTTATAGTTGGCCCCTGATATTGGTTTTTCCTTGTGCTTAATATTGGTGCTTCCTAGAACAAAACAACAGTCTGAACATGGTTGCAACAGATGGACTAACCCATTTAAGTATATATCGATTTGATTTAGCCAGAATACTTTGGTATTGAAATTGTGCTACGATTAGTATGCAAGGATAACTCGTAATATCATTCAAGCATATCGATTGGCGACGGTGGTTTCTGGAAACATGGATCCTTCCAAACTCGAATAATTACTTGAGCGGCAGCTGAAACTAATGCAGATGTTGACAGTAACCAAGGTTTCGCCTTCCACACAGCCTAGCTCATCTAATTCGACCACTGAACAATCAGTAGACGGCATTGCAAATAGCTTTGCTGAGTTTCATTATGATCCTGGTGCCAACGTTACTTTTGACATGTGGTTCCGGCGTTATGAAGACCTATTTAAATTTGGTTTCGCCAATCAAGATGATGCTTGAAAGGTTCGGATGCTACTTTGAAAGTTCGGTGTAAGTGATCTAGACAAGTACTGTAATTTGATCCTACCTTTGAACCTACGAGATCGTTCATTTTTCGAGACAGTTTAGACATTAAGCCAACAATTTAGCGACAACTCGTCAGTGTTTAATACGCGCTATCGATGTTTGGAGCTAATTATGAGCGAAGACGATGATTTTCTTACGCATGTGAGCATCGTCAACCATGAATTTGAACGCTTCCGGTTGATGTGTTTGTCTGAAGACCAGTTTAAAGCACTCATCCTCATTTTCAGCCTCCAGTCCCAAAATTTTAGTGGCATAAGAACGCGGCTACTGTGTCGATTGGATCAAGATCCTAAACTAACTTTTAGTGACAGGGCTAATGTGTACCAACGCCCCATTAATCTGCAACGAGACACAAATATGGTTCAGAGTGGTGGGTCTAGTAGATCTGAAGTACGAGTAGTGCAACAGACACCTTACCAGAATAATTGTGCCTCCGCTACACCCAGTCGATCCCACTCCAGCTCAGTCCGAAAGACGAAGATAAATCCCCCTACTCCTTGTTGGCACTGTGGTTCATGGCACTATGTACGAAACCGCCCATTCAGGCAACATCGATGCAGGTAGTGTAAGGTCGTCAGTCATAAAGATGGTTTCTGTTCGAAGAGAAAGCCAAACCGATCCAGAAGTACCAAAACGTCTGTTCCTAGATCCGGTACCAATCCGCTAAGCTTAATATCTTCCTGTCAAAGCTCATCAGCAGGTGAGGGGAAATTCATTACTCTAAATATTAACGGGGCATTCGTTTAGATTGTAAATGGATACAAAATCAGACGTCACCATTCTCTCGCGTAAAATTTGGAACCCGTCTGCAGATGACAACACAAAAGCGTCGTACTGCATGTGGAAATTACCTTCGCTTGTTAGGTCGATCGGATTGTAAAGTTACTTTCCGAGATTCGGCGTTCATTGGAATATGTTATATAACGCCAGCTGATCTAAATTTACTTGGTTTAAATTGGTCCGACAAGCTAAAATTAGCTAACGTCCCCTTAAATACCATACACCAACTGGTATCACAACCCCATGACTCTGAAGCATATACGAATAAGCTAATGACTCACTTTTCAACCATTTACCGAATTGGATTACGTCCATGTTATGCCATGAAAGAAACACTTCGGTTGAAACCTGGGGCGAGGCCAGTTTTCCTTCCAAAGAGACCCGTGCCTTATGCAACATTACCAACAGTATATGAACAAGTGAATCGCCTACAACAACAAGTAGTTATTACATCCATTTCTTCCTCTATTTGGGCAGCACCTATAGTTGTTATTAAGAAGACCAACGGCACGATACATATATGAGCTGACTTTCCTAGAGGTCTCAGCGCAGCTCTGGAACAGCATCACCATCCTCTGCCAGTCCCCGCAGATCTGTCTACTATGCTGAATGGGGGAAAGTTTTTCGCAAAACTGGATCTAGCTGATGCTCATTTGCAAGCGGAAGTAGCTGAAGCATCAAGAGAGCTGCTTGCTATCAATACTCATCGTGGTTTGTTTCAGTATAACCGTCTGCCTTTTGGTGTCAAGACTGCCCCATCAATCATCCAGCAACTAATGGATACCATCTTAGCAGGTACCTCGGGAGTCGCAGCTTATCTCGACGACATTAGAACAGCTATAGGAACGCATGACATTGGTACTGCAACGCATCAGTGACGACAGGTTCCGGTACGCCCAGAGGCGAACTGTCACCGGAATTCTCTACTTCAAGTGGTGTCCGTCAGGGATGTCCACTCTCTCCATTCTTGTTTAATTTTATCATAGACATGCTCCTAGATATAACCTTATCCTCGTCTGAATTTTCTGGAGTAGACCTTCTACCAGGTGGCTCGCTTATTGACTTAGAATATGCCGATGAGATTGTTCTACTTGGTGAAGATGCTGACAAAATGCAGAGTCTTCTGACCACCCTAAGTAACAATGCAAGCATGTTCGGGATGCGGTTTTCCCCCTCGAAATGCAAAATGTTGCTCCAAGACTGGATTGCATCGGCACCTGAACTAGTGATAGGGAGTGAAGTAGTCGAGCGAGTAGACCGCTTCACTTATCTTGGGAGTCTCATCAGTGCTGATGGCCTGGTGACTGACGAAATCTCAGCACGGATACAGAAAGCTCGACTGGCTTTTGCCAACCTGCGTCACTTATGGCGTAGGCGAGATATCCGTCTGCTGACTAAAGGACGAGTGTACTGTGCAGTGGTTCGCTCCGTCTTACTCTATGGGTGTGAAACATGGCCAGTGAGAGTAGAAGATATTCGTCGGTTACTGGTTTTCGATCATATGTGTCTTCGAAGCATTGCTCGTATACCGTGGGACAACCGAGTAAGCAATGCTGTCGTTAGGAAACGGGTACTAGGTAAGAATGGCAGATCAATAGATGAAGTGGTGAAACTTCATCAGTTGAGGTGGTTGGGACATGTGCTGCGTATGCCTAATCACCGACTGCCTCGACGAGCTTTGTTTTGTAGTGTAGAAGTAGGTTGGAAGAAAGTTAGGGGCGGCCAGACCAAAACATGGCATAAATCCATGAAGTCATTGACTAGTGGACTAAGCCATGTCGGTAATTGTCGACTACCTGGTTGGGGTCCGCGAGATGATAATAATCGATGGTTAGAGACCTTGAATGACATGGCTCGAAATCGTTCGCAATGGCACCGGCGCATTTATTCTTTGTGTTCTCTCAAATCCTAATCTTGTGGATTCTTCAACCCCTCTAGTTTCGACTCTCTAAACTTTTCTAACTGAATCATACTTCTTGAATAGTATCTTCTAACCCTAACCTCTCCGATTATTTCTAATTCCCTTACTACCTCTACTACTATTGAATTTGAATTGACAATTATAACTCTGTGCTGATGTGGTATGGCAACATGAACTGATGTACTTACGTACGAAGTTCTAGGTTCCATCTGACTTACTGACTGACTACGCCCAGAGGAATACCAGTTTTTATTACAGTCGGCGCCGACGTCGTCGATGCCGACGGATCCTGAGAACACCCGAGCTATCAAACTGGTGCCCACCCCCACTAATGTCTCGGAACTACGTCCCTTTATGGGACTCGTTACCTATCATTCAGCGTTCGTTCCTTCGACGCATGGTATTCGCGCTCCACTGAATTGTCTACTGCAGAAGAACAGCACTTGGAACTGGACTAAAGAGTGTTAGGCGGCGTTCTGTAAGCTCAAGTCCATAATTAGGTCGGAATTGTTGTTAACACACTACGATCCACCAATACCGATCATCGTAGCTGCAGACACTTCGGCGTGTGGCCTGGGTGCTGTTATTTCACATCAGTTTATAGACGCGGCAGAAAAAGCCGCTAAGCATGCGTCGCGCACACTAACCCCAGGAGAAAAGAAATACGGCCAGATAGAGAAAAAGGCTTTTA